CCAAGACTTGCTTAAGGATACACCAAAGGCTTTTTTCAAGATTTTTGTCAATTTTGAGATTTTTGGCTAAGAAAACAATGGTAACCACTGCTTTATAATGCATGAAAAATTCTTGCTGATTATTGAATGGTTTTCTAATTATTTAACAATAATCAAACATAAACACTAACACATGTGAATGTGCCGTTATTGAAGCTTCTGATTTGGTCTGTAACTGCCTGCTACTGAAAGGAGCAATTAATCACTGTGACCACTTGGGGAATTCTTCACTAGCCACACAGAGGCTATCAGTAATTAAACTACAGGGACTCTAAGGTTTAGGGAAGGAGATCTAACTGGTCACTAATGACCATGAAATAGGAGGTGGAGCTTAGCTCTTGCCATTTTGCCGGGAAATCTTTCTGATCCAGAATTGAACCTATTTTACTTCATTAAAAGCACCTAAATAAAGAATAGAACCTCCCATTCTTGTGAATATGCATAGGAAATATGGATAAGTGACAGGTATCCAAAGCTGAATCTCCAAGGTGTCATATATTTCTAGCTTTGGCAGACTCTGTTGTGTAATGGGTTTTTGCCCCCTACTGTAAAGTAAGATCAGACAGTTGGTGGTATTATTTCAAAGGATTCAGCTCCCTTATTTATTGACCAATTTCTCTGAAAACTGGCTAGATTGTCTCTCAAATGTTTGTTCACAAAACTGTATCTCAGATTTTTGATATCTTGCTCAGTTCTCGAATTATTGGGGGAAATGTAGAATTGGGCTAATAAATTGGTAACATTGAAAGACAAATGGATGTAACTTTTGAATAAAAAGATTTATCAAAAATCTGAGATACGGTATTAAAGTTCAATCTTTAATCTACATTGAGGCAAAATTTTGACTTTGAGAGGTGAAATACAAAAAACTTGATTTATAAAATATGAATGCACTAATATTTACATTAAAATATTAATAACTTTTAAATAAGATAAAAATGAAAATTTAAATTAAGATCATTAAATAGTGAATTTAACAAGCTTTCAAATGATATATACTTTTAATATGTTATCTTTGGTAATGAAAGAATTACAAGCAAATTAGATTTTGCCCCTTGGAAACCTTTGGTGTATCCCTAAAAGCTTAATTAAGGTAACTACACACTGTTAAATAAACTTTGTTATATTCTTCCCAACAACGTTTGGGATATCCTGGAATCACACTGTCTGTTTTTCTGCCTGTCTACTTCTCTGTAGTATTTTTTGTCCAAAAATAAAATATTTGTGTCAGAATCTTCTTAATTTTTGGCAATATGAATTAGTAATACTGTTTGAACATTCCAAATTTAATTGTCAAAATCAAAAAAAAATTGCTTTTTATGACTTTATTATGAAGCATATCTTCAAACAGTATAATTGTCTTGCAAATTACATCATAGGATTCTACAAAACACCTAGTATAGCTTATATAACATTAGTTTTATCTCTTATCCTATCTCTGTTGGTGAATTGGGCATACATTTGTTTGCTGAACTTTAATATTACTTGTAGAATTGATTTTGTAATTTAAGAATTGTTTTATTTTTACTTTTGAAATTTTTGTAGAGACCATTCTGTGCCACAAAGAAATTGTTCAGGAAAGGGAGAAATGGTGGATTTGCATTTTGGGTACAGTTCAAAGAGAGTTCAAAATGGTCAAGCTCATGGAAGATCAGAGGGAGGACAACTGAAGAAAACTGAAAGATACAGAAGGAAAAAGAACAAGAAAATATATGAAATAATTATGAAATTGGGAGGATGTCCACAATCTTGTCTGCATTTGACCTGTAAAGATTTAATTCCCATTTTTATTTGTATGCTGTAATATCAAATAACTTGATTTTTCATAAATTTACAATAGAGATTACATGACAAATGTTATATGTGATATTTCAATTTGGCTTTGGACACTTTCATGTCAAATCATATAAATTATAAAAAAGTACATGGACTAATTATGTTATTCATTTGTACATGTATGCATGTTTAACTATTTAATCATTTTGTGGAAATCTTATAATTGTACTCAACTTAGAATATGTAAAATGTATGTATCGACAAATGCTACTGACTTGTTTGTATACTTTCCTGTTTAGAAAGTACACTGAAAAATAAGTTATTTCTCTTGATGAAAATAATTTATCAAAAAAGTTGTGTAAGCATTTTAAGATATTAATTTTCAAATATTTAACCCATGAAGATAGATCATTGGAATGTAATGGATTTTCATCTCAAGCAGAAATATTTGATTTTTAAATGTGTACAAGAATGTGTTTTTCCTTGTGATAAATATTGAAAGAGAACACATCTAACTATTTCATATGATTTACATATGCTGCCCTTTTCATATGATTCACATATGTGGACAGACATGAAAAAAGTATAAAAATGATAATAAGTACAACAGTAATATTATACACGTATAATTCACATATAAAGTATAACATATATAAAACACATGTTTAACACATGTTTCATATGTATAAATATACAATGTGTTTATTTTTACACATGTTAAACACATGTGAAACACATGTTTAACATGTGTAAAAATAAACACCCTATACATGTGTGCTCCTTTTATGTGTTTTACATGTGTAAAAAATATATGTTAAACACATGTTTAACATATGTTCAACACATGTGGACATTTTTCCTGTGTATCTTTATCCTCTGCGGTCTCTGAAATGTTTGCTCTTTCGTTGAGGGTCGGTTGAGTATTGCATTCTCCTCAGCAATCAGTAGTTTTCCTTGCTCTTCCTCGATAGGTCAACCTATGGTCCCCTTGAACTTTCAAGATACAGGCATGGGATCTTTTCCCTGTTTTCCCTTTACAGTTGCCTCTTCTGCTGCCAGCATTTCAATGGCCTCATTCTCGTCTCGACGTGCAAATCTCTTAACTTTCTTATTAACTACCCAGTACTTTGTAGATCTATTCTTACCTTTCCTGCAATCTTATTGACTTGATTTGTGGTAGTGTTTTTTAACCCCTTTTTTCTTCTAGATCTATATTTTCTTGTTGATATAGTCATTTAAAACCTGGAATCTATTCCTCATGTCATCGTAATGATGATGAGATCATGTATATGTGTCAGTACGACGTGAATAACGTGTTAAGAAATACGACAACAAGTATTAATTAAGTGTGTAACATTATGACGTTAGCATATGTTTGTCTGTGAAAGATGAGTTAATTGTGCGTGTTTCACTATGACGTGAGTTTATTACACGTATATGTTGAACAATGTGACGTGAGTTAACAATGAAATATAGGAAGATAACGATCAGTATTCGATCTCAAAAGTCTATTAAACAATACAAAATTGAAGCAGGGCAAACTTGAAATCCAAAAAAAGGTGGCATTAGGTGCTATGGAGGAGTGAGCATCCCCTGCCGACCGGTCACAAACGTCATGATCGCCAAATAAAGGAAAAAATCTTTCGACAATTTAGTCTGTAAATAATGGCCTAACAATAAGTATGAAAAACGTCAGTCAGCATTTGACTCAATGATCAATCGTATTTGCTGACAAGGTCATTGGATCGACCATAGAACTTGATATAATGACTGTAATCGAGTCTGCCGATAATTTTGTTTCATCAACTTTTCAGTCAATACCCTGCCTCCTTTTAGAAAATGTTCATACGTAGAGCATGTGCTTGCGTATTGAATCAATTGAGAGATCGAAGGCATATTGCTGCGTAAGGGAAATTGACGATTGGAAAGTTAAAGTTTATCGTAAGTTTATCTTATAACATTTATCATAAAACTTGGTTGTAAGATTACCATTAACGATCTATTTCTAATAAAATCATCCAAATATGAAACAGATTTGTCAAATTCTGTAGAATCTTTAATTTAAAGCACACCGGGATACATCGTATCGACAGCAAGTGTTTTCTTTTTGGCCAAAAGATTTTCAAAAAATTCTGTAAAACTGTAAAATGTTTATAAAAATAAGAAATGACGCTACATTAATTGAAATACGGTTTATTTTGTACTTAGTTACCTCTACATCAATTCAAAGGAATATACTGTATATGGTTTAAGCTTGAAATGTTTTACGACCCTGGTGAGATGTTTATATTCTTGAAAATTACCACTGCAATATTAATTTTCTAGATTTTTTACATGTGTTTGAACTTCGAAATTAGTTTCAAAGACCTTTCAAAAAAGAACGAAGTGCCTTTAACCTTATAATGCATTCAATATTATTACAGATTATTTGTTGAAAAAAGGACAAAATTATGAAAATATTTCTTTAAATGTGTTTTTAATTTTAACCAACGAAAAAAAATACTGTTATTATAATCAAGGTAGCAAGTCGTTGGCATTCTTTGAAATACGAAATGCCAACATTATTCCTGTTTGGTCGATAAGAAGGACAATGAATCAAGTGATTGACGAAGATTTTTGACAGTGATGTAGCTTAATCATGATAAGAGAAGAACAAGATGTAGCATGTAGCCAAATCAAGATGTTCACTCCAGTCCAGTCAGAGGGGTTATTGACCAATTCACCGACAGCACAGATTAAACATCTTTGATTATTATTAGAAATTGAATTAACTTGGAGCGGGGTGATTTTTTCACGTAAGAGTGTCTTGGTCAGAGGATTGGTAATGAGTCTCGATTCTGTAGACTATTTTCACGCTTCTATTGTAGATGGAAAAGCCTTTTGAAAAAACCAATGGTTTAAATTCAAATGTTTCCCTTTCTTGAATTTCTCTCGTTTCATTTCCTATTCGTTTTTAATTTCCGGTGTAAGTCGGAACAGTTCGTGAGGAGATAATGGTAAACCAGAGCAGGAAGTGACAGATATTACTAACGAATTTAATTTACAATCCACTGCTTTTGTACAAAAGGAGAATTCTGCTTACAAATAAGAAATTCACAGCAATGCGGTCCTCAATGACTGATCAACTTCCGGGAAATCTAATCTTTCTGGAGGGAAGAGAAGTGTTCATTCCAGCTTCAAAAACGCTTTTTCTTTTTTAATATCAGGACTAAATATACATACATTCGCAAGGTTTTTACATATAAACACAAAATCTTAATAAAAGAATAATTTTAAAAAATAGCACCAAGTTAAATTGAATGATGGATCGATGAAAACACAAGGTCACCGGAGGTGGTTATAGATGGAGTAGATACTAGTCAGTATTTGGCAACCGGCGGATAACAGGAATGGGACGTCACCTAAAATAGGAGAGAAAAAAAAATGTTGATTCATGGGAACAACTTTCTTAAATGAACAATAAACAAATACCCATTATTTCGGTAAATGGTTTGAAATATGTCGATATGCTTTTCTTCTTACAAATATAGTAAAACATCGTATTATCATTATGAAGTGGCGAGTCGATATATTTGAAGTTAAATTTAGACTAATAGTACTTCATTTCAAAGAATTTTAACTATTAATAATAAATCCTCAATTCTACATTTTATTGCATCAATGTACTAGTAACTAATTACTTCTGAATCGAAACAATTACTTTATTCCCTTTTGAATTCCAATGATAACGTTACCTAGGGAGACTTGTGCTGGGCAGTTGTTGGTCTGTCTTATTGAGGTAGATTTGGTCTGAGTTCCGACTGTTTTATTGCTTTATGACTTTCTTATTCACTTAAATAAAGAAACAAAATATCTCCATTAAAAAACATATCAACAAGTCTGGAATACTGTTTTTATTGAAAAAAAATAAATCTCCTCCAATTAACAGAAGACATGTCAAGGTCTAAGTTACATGTATAGAACACGTGTCAAACAGGATTTTACCGAGAAAGTCAAATGTCGAGGTGTTATGTCTGAGGAAGCAATATAGAAAATGACCTACCCTTGTACCTGACCTCTCTCCGGATTGGACATTTGCTATTCTGAAAAACAATGAAAGCTTTTAGCATAATGTTCATGTAAAGAATCATTGTCAACTAGAATTCAGAGAATTCTGTATCCCCCAAATGACATTCAATATGATTTTAAGATTCTTATTCAATACTTTAAAGTTACTTATGTCTTAAAGACATACGCAGAACATGTTATGTTGGATCTTATCAATTGGGAGGCATATAACCTCCAAATAAGAAACAGATGATAATGGTATACTGTTACATGCAGAAGGGAAGTCGATAAAAGAAAAGTAACCTTCATAAGATTTCTCATAATTTATAATTGTTAAAATTGTCATAAATGTCTTTCTCTAGTAAAATATTCAAATATGAAACAAACACGATGCCAGACTCTGTGTTATTTTTTTTTAATTTCGAGCACAAGGTGTGTATATTGCATAGGAGCAGAGCAAACACTAACCTCCAAAACATAAGAGGTGGGATCAGGCGCCATGGAGGAGCCGACCGTTCACACCCGCCGTGTGCTCCTTGTCATGATCGGGAAATAACGGGAAAATCCGTCGTCAATACAGTGTATAAATAATGGACTAACAATTAGTATGAAAAACGTCAGCCAGCATTTGACTCAATGATAAATTGTATTTGCTGACAAGGTCATGGTATCGACCATAGAACTTACGAAATGATGACTTTAAACGAGACGGCTGATATTCCTGTTTCATCAATTTGTTTGTCAATAATTTACCTCGCTTTAGAAATTGTTCACACGTAGAGCATGCTCTAGCGTACCGAATCAACTCTGGGATATATAAACTCCGTATGCAGGTGATGAAGATGCATGTATATTGCTGCATAGGTAAGGGAAGTTGACGACAGAAAAGTTAAAGTCATCACGTTTATCGTAGAGCTTGGTTGGTAGATTACCATGTTGTCTTTTCAAGTAAAATATCCAAGTATGAAATAGATGTGCCAGACTCTGTGGTATCTTTTATCTCAAGCTCACCAGGATATATTGTATTGACACAGGAATGTAAATTACCATTGTTAATTGACAATACGTCGTCGATATATCTAAATGTCGAGTTGAAAGCCACAGTAAGTGTTTTCTTCTTTTCACGAATAAGATTTTGCACAAATTCTGCTTCATCTAAATACAAAAATAAGTCTGCTAATAATGGAGTGCAATTGGTACCCATGAGAATTCCAATAGATTGTTGGAAAACCTGGTCTCCAAAAACCTCATGGTTATTGTCAATCAGAAACTCAAGCATCCTTTTGATGTCAACTTCAGAGTACTTGTATGTGCAATCAGAATGTGTTATAACAAAATAATTTTGCGAATGACTAATGACGAGGTAAGTAGATTTACGAGTTCCATTTTTATTGAAAAAGCTGCTGTCAATGATATCAAAAAGCATGGACTTTAATCTATCGTGGGGAATGGTTGTATATAAAGTTGAAAAGTCGTAAATTTTAAGCTGTTGATTTTGGTAAATTTTTTTTAATTTCAAAATATAAATATTTTCATAGATGTTTTCAATCAGAAACTCGAGCATCTTTTTTACTTTAATTTCATAAGAGTTCCTTTCTTTTTTTTTTTTTTTTTTGAAAAAAGGAGTTGCTTAAAATATAAAAATATCTGGTTTATAAAGTATCGAAAGTCGTACGTTTTGATGCTACTGATTTTGTAAACTCGTGTAAATTTTTATTCGGTTTCAATAAAGAACATATGCCTGAACAATCTCGGGAGAAAATAGTTTATACGTGATATTAACCAACTCACGCAAACATATTTTTTGTTATATCAATTTAAAAAATTATTAAATTTGTTTGCATTAATTTGTAGACAAAAAGTAAAAAAAAATAATAATAGGACGAATGTACTTGAAATATACACCAATAAAGTCTAAATGTAATTTCTCTTGGCGATAAAATTCTCTAACACAATATCGTTACAAAGTCGGGCTTGGTTTTAAAAAGTTTAAAGGCTCATTTCCTGACATGATTGGAAAATTATAATATCTTTTAGTTTTGATTTTCTGTGAAAAACAATTGTTCAGATAATAGCAAAAACTGGGTTATCCTCGGATTATTAATATGCCTAGGTTAAATTATGCAAATCAAGTGCATTGTTTTCTTTTCTCCTGTACAAAACAGTGTGATTACGGGAGGTTTATTACTTGACAATTGTTTATCGGAGTCGATAACTTATCGTGCGTTTTTTTTAAATACCAATTTATATCGATGTTTCTTAGTAAAAGCGGCAGTGTTCCCTTACATCAAAGTTATCTGTCATCTTCTGAAAGATGAAATAAACAGTTTAAGGTTTAAATTAAAGGGAGACAACTATCTGCCAGGACAATATAGCGACAGTACTTCTGGTGGAAGATGAAACACCAATTGTCTCGGGACAGGGTAATTACAGTCCCCAACAGATGAAGGTCTTCGATCCAAGCAAACCATAGCGTGACCACTCAGTTTAATTAATAACTGCAAATAAAAAATGGCTAAAAGTTGCACTATCTGTGTTTTCAAGAACAATCAATGTTGAGGCTAGCTGCCGAGAATCATGTTTTTCACACATGGTGTAATTTGCTTCATACGAAATGGGTATCCGTATTTCAATTAAGTGCCAACAAGATATACATACATTGGTCTGCATTTTAAAATGAACGATTTATTAACAAATGTAAAATTAATATTTGAATTAAATATTGGTGTTCAAGACTCACAAATTCCCTAACATTTTAAAATTTATCACCTTTGTAGTTTAATCCCGTGAAAAAAGTATTATATGAGCAATTTATATATACTCTTTTATCAAGAGCGTTTCCATACATTTGAATAGATAAAAAAATTATTTTTTTCTGATGACAAGTATTTCCACTATAGTTGCATGATACCGTACGTGAAAAAGTGTATTATTTTAATTGTATTAATAAATTATGTATTAATCATTTTCGCTTTGGTTCGCTCTGCCCCACTATCGCTTTAATGATTTGATTTATTGTCGCCGTATTGCGGGCCTTTGTACCGACGGATTCCGTGATTGACTCTGTATCATTATGTATCACCCATTTCTGATGCTACTTGTCTCGTGCTTGTTCCCTTTTTAGGATAATTTTTTTTCTGTTGACAATGATATTGTACCTTTACGAAGGCTAATGACTTCTGTATCACTTAAATCCATTACTCGTAATATTATCATTCCTGTTAAATAGCTCCAATATTCTAAACTTAATTGTGATAACAAAGAGTGTTTAACTGTTCTAGGTTAGCCTAATTATTCACAAAAAGCAAAGAGAATTCAAAATAACAAGATTTTGATTTGACATCTAATTTGTTAAGCTATACATATATCTCTCTCATTATATAGCTACACCAGGGAATATATATTAGGTTTAAAGTTAAAATCACAAAAATTTTACTACATCATTCCTTTGAAAAACTTTTGCTTATCATATTTAATAGCAGGTTAATATACAATGACATTTTATCAAAGTATATTCACTTCAACACAGTGCTTTAAGTCTCCCTGAGGTGAGATTTCAATCATTTTCTTTACCAAAACTGACAGTATAACCTTTATAATTCTCCTCTGGAATTCTCATTTGACCTTTAGATTATGAGAGAACTGATGTGTAAAAAAAATTCTTAGAATGCCTTGACACAAAAAAGATAAAAATGTAGATTATTGAAAGAATTTATTTTTTCTACAAACGCACTCTACAAGAAATCGCGAATTCAAGGAGGATTGAAAACATAAGTAATGAAAAGATCAAAATACACTATTTGTAGACAAAAAAAAAAATTCAATTTGTACACATCTACTAGCATTAAAAAAATTGAAAGAAATCTTACTCTGGGAGAAGTATTTCATTTCTTATATACATCACAACTTAAACTTCACAAAAACCAATATATCCTTCTGTGGTCAATAGTATGTGTTCAGAACTGAAAAGGAATTAGATGGATAATGCATTCAGCATGTACTGGTCTCAGCTAACAAAGCAGGGGACACCACTCTTTGTAAGGTTCATCATTAAATGTATTTTAGAGAGATTGGGATTAAATTCCGAAGACATTTCTCCAACTAATGCACAAAGCTTCCTTTATAAGGAAAACAAATCCTCAAATCAGGCGTCAATTTATAATATTATTAATGTTCCCAACAATCGGAATTAATTTAAATTACCAATTTAAATTTCATAACTTCCAAAAACACACACAAAAAAACTTTCTATAAAGAAATTTTTAGTAAGTTTCAGTTAATAATCTTCCAAGCTTCTTTCTTCACTGATTATATGTCTGAGAAGAGATGTAAATTAACTGCAGATGCTTAAAATTCAATGGAATTTTTAGGAAATTTGTAATCACATCAGTAACGCCAATACGTAAAATTTTCAATAAAAAAAAAGAAATGTAAAAAAATAAAAATAACAATTCCCCCACGATAAATTAAAGCCAAGGATTTTCGACATCATAGAAGCTGATTTTTAATGAAATGGATCTCGTATATTTCTTAACTTGTCATTGGTCATTTGCAAAATAATTTTTTCTCAAAACATCGTTATTGTACACAAAAAATCTAAACTTGTATTATCAATTAACACTAGTTTCTTTCGTGCATATGTTGACTCGCTGTTAGTCCATTATTTATACACTGAATTGACGACGGATTTTTCCATTATTTCCCTATGATGACAAGGAGCACACGACGGGTGTGGCCAGTATACAGGGGATGCTAACTCCTCCATGGCACCTGATCCCACCTCTGATGTTTTGGAGGTCAGTGTTTGCTCTGCTCCAATTTTGTATTGTTTTACGCACTTTTGATCTGGAATACTGTTCGTTAGCTCATATTTTTCGCTATAACCCAGTGGAGTAATAAAAAAAAAGATACCACATAGTCCGAAACAGATGTGAATATGTTACCTGAAAGAGGCGTTAATGGTTATCTAAAAACAAGACTCTAGGATAAACATGATGACTTTAATTTTTCTGTCTTCAAACAATATATACTAGTCAAAATTTCTAAGTCCCCAGGCAAGTTTTTGTTTTACACCGCTCTTATATTGAATTATTTTAACAGTATAATTTAATAAGTATACAAGATAAAAAAGTAGGAATACAATTTTTTCTCACTTAATTTATTTTATTGAAGCACTTTAACACAATATGCAGAAATGTTAAGGCACCCTAGAATTAAAAATTCACAACGTTAAATACTGCATTATCCTCCATTCGAACGAATTCACAGCAAGACAACCGTTCCTCAAAAAGTTCACACTATTTAAAAAAAATTCTTTAATTGAATGTTTTTCCATGTGGAGACTAGGTCGTCCTCTAGTTCCGCTAGATTCTGCTGCTGGAAAAGCTGTCTCAAACTCCGGTTTATCTTCTTCCATACATGTTTGTTAGGGTTGAGATTATGATGACAAGCGGGCTTACCGAAAGTGCCTGTGCCTTGCTAACAAAAGTTACATGATGTCTTATTACATGTGTATCCCACTCCTCCAGTTTGACATTGAGGGTAGGGCACTTCCGGTTCCGGTTCTATTGATTTTTCCGGATAAACACTAGGATGAATTTGATTTGTTTGTTGAAAATCTAGCGATTTCTAATGATTAGAAGCAATTCAAGGATGCTTTGTAGGTTTTTCAGACGGTAATAAAAAGGTTTTAAGCAAAACAAAGTCATACAGTGCAAGGAAACAGAACTCTCGTTAACTGCGACCAGCTTGGGCGATTTCAACTTCACTTTCACGTTGTTGTGTGGACATACACCGCATTTTAATCAAACTTTTTTTCTGTTTTTCGCTATCAATTAAAGATGGAGAACACATGGAAGTAAAAAATATGAAGAATACACCCGAAAAACATATTGAACTCGGACTTCATGCTTTTTAACAAAAACGGTCACGGTCGAGTAAGTACACTTTCGATTACAATTTGTTTGGCCTTGATAGGTAAGTATTGCAAATGAAAGGCAACATTGTAAGCAACTAGTACATTAATGTTTAGGTTTTGAACTTTTTGAAAAAATAAAAGTGGGGACTTAGAAATTTTGACAAGTATACCTTTATAGACTATATACAGGTGTTATATTGGTAAGACACATAAAAAATGTTCTTCGTTTACAGAATTTTTTTTAAAATCAGGCTTCCTATGGACAGCCAATTTGATGAATCAAGGATATCAACAGTCTCGTTCAAGTAATCATTTTGCGAGTTCTACTGTCGACTTAATTAATGACCATGTCAGCAAATACAACGTATCATTAAATTGAAAGCCGGCTGACAGTTTTCACACATATTGTCAGATCGTTATCTAAACACTAAATCGTTTCTGGTTTTCTTCGTTTGTCTGATCATGATAAGGAGTACAAGGCGAATGTGTATGAAAGAATGCTTTCTTTTCTATGGTATCTGATCCTACCTCTAATGATTTAGTTATCCGTGTTTACCCTACTTACGATTTGTATTTTATCAATGAACTTTTGAGCTTAAATATTATTTTGTTATTTCTATATTTCATTCTCCTTAATAACACAAATATATGCATGTTTCAGTAAGTTTGATAGGATATGCATACTCGTATCTCCATCGATAATACACGACGGTTAACATGGGTATGGATGATTTCAAGACGTCTTTAAATATCTTTAAGCTGCATAGTTCATTCTTTTGATTTTATGCACAGTGATTTATATACTATTGAGTATCACTACTGAGTAGAATGAAAAGACATGTAAATATTGGAAACCTTTTGATGCCAAAGAACACCCTTTGAATTTCAAAATCGTAGTTTATTTCACCCAGTCCCACTTTTAAAAAAGCCAGCTTTGAATTTTTTAGATGGATATCTTTTGTGAACAAATGATTTACTGACAAAAAAGAAGAAAAAGTACATGATATATGTTTTATAATTCTAAGGATAGAAATCAAGCAATAATTTATGCAGATTTATTTTCGCCCCGCGTTATTTTGGCCCTTTCACACTTGCAAACAATTTTGCCCTGTTTTAAAAAATCGCCCATTCATATTTTTGTCTAAGAAATTATACTGTATTCTTTTAATTCGCACCGTTTAAGATTCGCCCAAATGAGGGTAGGGCGAGAGGGGCAATCTAAAATTTTTGTGTCTACGTATTTTTTTTTTAAAACACAATATATATCGATGTTAATAAAACAGGGGCGAAAATTTCCCTATTTACAGTATCAACTCAATAACAGAGTCAGTGCGTTGAACTATGATATACTGCATTAGCAGAAGGCCATAAAACAATAAAACTAATAAACAGGGGCAATTAAAAGTATGAACATATTAATACTGTGAAAGTAAATGGAATTTTCAAATTCTATTTTAGTCCACGTGACCCTTGATAAAAAGTATATGTCAATAACGCCTACTATTATTAGTGGTTCCTAGTCAGCTTGTTTTGTCAATTTGTTCATTATCACGTTGATCTTTTGTCCTTGAACTAACAGATAGGACGCCGTCCAATAGATGTAAAAGTGAGATAATTTTTTATCAAACCCATCCCAAAGTTTGCAAACTCTACGGATTTAGAAATACGATCTCAGTCGGTGACAGCTTTTTATTGTAATTTTATTCCCAATAAGCGGTAAACGATCAAAATGGGTAATTATTTCTTCGCACAAAATCCAATGCATTCATTTTTCGTTCAGCAATACTCTAAATAATTAAAATTCATTGATGAGACCTTACATAACCAAACATGCACCAGTGAACTTTAAGTGTGAAAAATTTCCTAAAAGACTAAAATAAAATCCACATGAAAAACTATAAATTTTCCGATTTGGCTAATGAACAAAACCTCCATGTAAAAAATGGTGTTTAAATTGTATGGTCTTACAAATGAGCACAAATCCTTTAAGGTACTGAATATAGTCGGTGTATTTATGACTAAAACATTTCTCAAAATATAGCTACTGATTTCTTGTTTTTTATCTTTTCAAATACGTCATACATTCAAAACCTTACTTACAAATACCTTAGAATTTAGTAGAAAATTCAAAATTTATATGAATTTACTTTTTTTTCTAAAAACTAAATGTTATTTTTCTAAAAAAAAAAAAATAGTACAAATTGTACTATAATTTTTTGCAAGTTTGGATTTTGGTATCATGAGTCAAGTATAATGTTACCGTATTAATGTTGATCTTACTTTATTAATGTTGGTCTTACCGTATTTATGTTAGTCTTACCGTATTTATGTTGGTCTTACCGTATTTAATGTTAGTCTTACCGTATTTATGTTGGTCTTACCGTATAAATGTTGGTCTTACCGTATTAATGTTGGTCTTACCGTATTAATGTTGGTCTTACCGTATTAATGTTAGTCTTACCGTATTAATGTTAGTCTTACCGTATTAAAGTTGGTCTTACCGTATTAATGTTGGTTCTGACGGTTCGTCTGTGTAAAGGCTGGACGGGGCGAACATTGTCGAACATAAACGCCTGGGGGTTCTCTGGTGTGTCCCTCCTTAGGGTCCTTAAAGCGTTTAACTGTGAGCAGAGAAGGATAAACTAGATTAATAACTTCAATTTTTAAAAACCTGATAGGAATTGAAGACAAATATCTTTGTTTTTTATAAATCTGTTTAAATAATAGAACGTTTAATATCGAATGCATGCGTTCCAAAACTTAAATTTCGGATACAAGGGTGTTACCTGCCATAAATTAAGTATGTATAGTGGACATGTTTAATGTTTTTTTTTTTCAGAATAAAATTTCATTCAGAAGGAAACACAACAAAAACTATGCTTTAGATCTTTCTGAAAACATTTAATATAAACCTGGTGTTCCCCAATGAAGATTGGTCTGTTCAGAAGGATCCATGTGACCGTTTCATAGCAGCCGGGTTGCGTTACGGATCCCTCATAAGTCATATATTGTAGGTTTTCTGGAAGGATGCGTTGAATTGAGAGTTCTTCTATTAAAGTTGTATTACCTGCAAAAATTTTGAAATTTACAAATAATTCTTATGATAAGATGTCCTGAAGAACTGAAAACTTCTTTGTGCAAAAAAATACATGTCTCTGAATTGAACTTTGATGAAAGCACAAGTCATTTTGCTATATACTGGCATTTTCAGTACTTACTTTTGAATTGAACTTTGCTGAGAACCCTAACAATTTTGTTGTGATCAGTACCTACTTCTGAATTGAATTTCTCACAGAGCACTAGTAACTTAGGTTTTAGTACCTACCTCTGCATTCAATTTTGCTAAGCACTAGACAATAAGTTATTTCTTTTTTTATTTCAGTACATACCTCTGAATTGAATTTTGCTGAGAGCACTTGTTATTTTGTTAATTTCAGTGTGCGTTGAATCTCGGTTTGCCTATAAGAAAGGAATATTGAATAACAGTGTTGCCATTTAATAAAGGATTTTTCTTGATAGAATGTGAAAAATATTTTCAATGATTTTATAGTAAGAGGCGTTTATGGTAACCTTACTACAAATCTTATAGTAAGTTTGATTCTTCAACTTTTCTATCGTCAACATCTCTTATTTATAGAGCGGTGCTCCCTTGTTACCTGGGTATGGCTTCAGTATACGTTGATTTGATACATAAGAGCAAGCTCTACTTGTGAAATTAAAAAAAAAAAACAAATCAGGCTTCGGACAAACATAAAAGGTAATAAAAGAAGGATATAAACATACTTGTTTAAGTCGTTATTCTGCAAGTTCTATAGTCGTTATAATTATTTTGACCGAAAAACAATCATTAAATTAAACGCTGATTGATGTTTTTCATGCTCATGTTTAGGTTATCATTTTCACATTGAATTGTCTTTGATTTTTTTTCCATTTTCCAGATTATGACAAGGAGCACATGGCGATTGTGAGCGGTCGGCAGGGGATGCTTACTACCATATGGCATCTGATCCTACCTCTGATGTTTTAATGTAAGGTCTTTGTTTGCTCTGCTCACTATTCGTATTTTTTCAATGAACTTTTGAACTTGATTTCTGTTAGTATACTGTAGTAAGCAACCAAGAATTATATCTAATTTATTAAAAAGTACACCACAGAGAAACTGCTGCATGATATTTACTGACATTACTCTTAAAAATTTTCTTTTAGCAATAAATTTTTTTTTTTTGTTTATATGTGCAATAGCATTTGTAACTATTAGAAAAATTCCTAACTCACCATCTTAAGGTATGTACATCTTTGTGGGTTATGTTAGTATTTTCTGCAGCAATTGTTTTCACATTTAATATAAAGAGCTCCAAAATAGTCTTTGCTTGCTGCCCAATCCGATTCGTTTTTATTTGTGAATAAAATTTTGTATTTAAAAAAAAGATTTTGTTGTTCATATTATTTCTTTATAAATAATTGTATAAAATATGCATAAATACGTAAAATGTTTATTCTGGAAGTGGAAGTATGACATTCAGAATATTGCTATCATAAATATTTCTTATTATGTTTTTCTTCTTTGAAGATTTCATCTTAATTTTAAAATTTTGATTTCGTTTAATTAAAAGTTAGTATCAGTAAAGTAAAAGAAAAGTTCAATTAACAAAAGACATGAATCTTGTTAATTTCAACCATATCAGTTCTTTACAATTAGATGTTGCGGGTAGTACATTCTACACAAAATGAGTTATACCCCTATATGAATACATTACCTTAACAAACAGACTGATAATCGTCAAACCCCTGGGTGCACGTTCTGCTGCAGTGAAGTTATGGAAGAGATCGGAATTATACGCCATAAGATGAATCTGCAATGATAATAATGATAATTTGGATTCAAAGAGCAGTCATATGTCGTGTAAAACTTACAGGTTAGTAGAAGCCAGAAAAATATACATCAGCTACAATTTCGCTAAAAACAGTCAAGAATTTTTTGAACATTGCTGTACCATCATATTTTTGTTCTTGCAGCTGTAGCCATTCGATAATAAATTTTAATTATCCAATTAAAAGGTATTGATATCAAATTGGACGATTAAAAAAAACTGTAAAAAGAAATTAAAGTTGAATACGTCCAGAAATTTTAAAAAAAGGTGAGGAAGAATTGTGGTTATAACAAACAGTATTCAAGAGGAGAATTAAAACCAGATTTTTGGTAGGTAATTGTTAGGAAATGCTATGGAGTAGTAAATCCATTAAGAAATCGAGTTTTTGCCTCACTTAACAGGTATACTTTCCATAGACTTTTTGTTTAGTATTTTCCATACAGCATTATCCTTAATTATTGCTAATTCTTGGCTTAGTGACTGTCAATGAAAGACCAAAGAGAAACAGAAATACACAGTTTTACTTACTAGTATCTCGGGTAAAAAAAACATTTCTTTTTTCCTACTTATAAGATGAGTTATTGAAGCATTGATCAGTCAGATTTGCTTGTTTCAGTTATACATAGTCCGATATTTGAATTGGTTATTACTATGATTTTTGCTAGTTTACCTCAGCGTCGAACCTTCTGCCGTTTATCTCGTGTTCTGTTCCCATTCCCTCCTTCCTGCCAAAGTGGAACTTGATCTGTGACAGTTTATAAACGTACGGTAGAGGTCCTAAAGATAGAGTCACCGAGCGAGCACCGCGGACAAAAAACGTGACGTCATTACCTAAATTCGTCAAATTTCCCATGACCTACAAGAAAAAAAAGCCCGTGAGACCATTGTTACTATACTGTATACTATGTACTTTTTTTAAAATTCTTGTATGATATTGTAAATTTTGCGTTAACCTCTATCTCGTATTTTCAAAATTTACATGATAATGTTTTAAAAATTGTCACTTTTGTTTGCATTGTGATGTTTTTGTTTATTGATTTTTTTAGAAAAAATTTTCTTTCATTTTTATGTTTACAAATACTTAACTAAGGTATTTCTAATGATCATCAAAATTTGAATTTCAGTTGTCGAAATACAAAAATTCAAGAGCCATGTTTTTGTTTATAGGTCTTAAAGTGTTCGTTCAAAGCCTAAAGACACAGACATTTTCTAGATTTGCCAAAAATTTTTTCATTTAAACAAAAACAAGGCACGAGCCTTTTTATGTGTAAATTAAATTTTTGCTGATCATACATTAAAATTGGTAAAAAAAAAAATTCACTTTTTGGCACTGAGGTATTGGTCTGTTGGTGACCATTCTAATGATCATCAAAATTTTGAATTTCAGTTGTCGAAATACAACGTTAGTTTCTCTTTAGTCTATGCATTATGACGCCGATATATGCGTCATTATAAAAAATATCGAAGCATTTTTTCAATATTTCAAATAAAACACAACTTCTGATCCAAAACATGCAATTTTATTTACATAATTTTTGGTTAAACATGTATTTTCTGAAATGTGTTCACTGAGTCTCTTCTATTTTTTTTATATATGTAGATTATTTTGAAATAAGGAAGTTTTTAATTCTCATAATGATGTAAAAACATTGTAACATTTACACAACCATTTTTGGAATAAGATCGTTTTGTTATATTAACATGATATTTTCTACAATGTAAACAATATATACAAGAACTTTGAAGTTGATATAGATATAAATTTATCTTCCTAGGGCCCTAAACGTTTAAATATGGCATGTCAAAGACTTTTCTTCAATTAACAATTATTTTATACTTGTTTTCAATGATATATCGAGTCGAAACATCCTACTTTTAATTAAGCACTTTCTTTTATAAATACGAAACATCGTTGGGATGAATTTTTTGAGATGTTTAATTTGTTGAATCACTGTATTTATTCTAAATTTGACTTAAAAGTACTCCCTCGATCTGATCGATATATAGGACATGTTGTAGGTGTGATTTGTCAACAGTGGATGCCTAATCCTCATAGGCACTCTACGCCACCTCTGATGTTTCCAGGGAATGTTTTTTGTACTTTTGACGATTCGTATATTGTAGTCAGTTTATTGAGTTTGATAACTGCTCGTTTACATCAACCTTTACACCTTGTATGCAAGGAAAAAATGGAACTGAATGCGATTAAAGTTCTCAGAGGAGCATGATCTATAGTCCTCAAATGAGGTCAACATATTAGGTAGAAGTACATGTTGCTGCAGCTGCAGTTAATCAATAAGGCCTCCAATTCAAGATTTTACCTTGCATAAATTCCCAGGGGAAGATCATGAATATAGCAAAACCCACCCTGGATAATTTAGAAAAACATGGACTTGGCTTTTATAATCAAATGGTAGAGGGTTGTCATTTTGTGAGTGCAGTGTTCACATTACCTCTAGTTTTCTGTATCCTTTTTAAAAATTCATTTATGATATACATAAAGATCATTAGATTTGCCTTGCTTAAAAATAAATATGTTTGAAAAGATTGACTTGTTTTCTATGATGACAATTTTTTCAAATTTAAAAAAATAATTCAGAAACACATTACTTTTAAAACATTCTTTCTTGGATATTTTTTGAAAAAAATACACCTTTAGCTTCAATTTTAACCATTGCATTCATATCCAAACTACTGCAAATCTGAACCCGTCTACTCTTCTGTAGAAATATTTTACATATTTGTGGAGGCTCAATTTTGTATCATTTAATGGGTGTGTGAGCTAGAATACTGTTTTTTATCTCCATTCTCATTAAAGTTTTTTTAAGGAAAGTTCCGTTAAGTAGCAGATTTTGCATGGCAATTCCTTTCCAATGAAAAGTGTACAAAAAGGTGAAATTTGTTATATAGTAGATGATTGCTATGATACAAATTAGGGATCTGAAATATGTATCAGATCAAAAAGTTAAAAAGTAGATGTACAATTGCATTAAGAGATAAAGAATCTGTGAAAATATCATTCAATTTTATCCAGGGGTGTAGAAGGAGCTGCAGATAAAAGATGGGTATCCCTCAATGTCATAGAAAGAATGGTGATGTCTGTGTTTTGCTGTGGGAAACTTTACATATGTGTCCGATCAAAAAGTAAATTAGGTGGTGCACAATGGCACTATGTAGTGTTATAAGTGAAGTTTTGGATAAAAGATGGATAATCTAAAGCGTAACAGACGGACGGACATATGGACGAACATACGGACGAATTAAGACAGACCCATCTCTATGGTATAAAAACTGATTTAAAAAGTGCATTACTATATGTGTTGGCAAGTTCATATATTAGCTTTTTGTTTATAGCTATATCGAGCCTATAGTGTAGGTAATTACGGTTAGGTGGAAAAGTTCACGTGTTACCCTATTTCCAGTTACTAAAACATCTTTCAGCCCCGGATCGAAGAGTAAAGTCTCAGCCGAGATGTTTATGGGGGACTGCAATTTTCCCTCGCTACAGAGAATCCAGTCTTTATTGATACGCCAATTAGATGGGCCTACAAATAAAACACATTGGAAATGGAGTGTGTCATAGATGGGAATTAACTGATTTCAAAGTGTGTCGAAATATTAATAAAAAAGGGAATTTTTAAAATAATATAAAATATTTGATGCATATTTTCCTTTTAATATCTACGTAAAACTTGAGAATTTTTCAAGTTTCTGTATATCTCACCTGAAAAACCGGAATACATCCACCAATCTGACCACTGTCCGAAACCTACAAAAAAGACAAAAAGAGATATATTGAAAAATTCAATGTCTGAAACTACAAACATGTTCGAAACCTTCAACAAAAATATCAAAATCAGTTATTGTCCGAAGCTACAAACATGCTGAGAAATTCATTGTCTGAAACCAACCCAAAAATACTAAAAGCATTCATTGTTCGAAAACTACAAATAAACAGCTAAAAATTCAGGAAAAAGTAACTGTCAGAAATCTACAACAGTGAATAGTCAATGTTGAAGCCTACATACTGGAAATGGCGTCCGAAACCTGCATGCTAAGAAGGTCATTATTCAAAACATACAAAAATATCAAAAATACAATGAAAAAGCATTGTTGAAACCTTCAAACAAATATAATGAAAAAGAACAATTAAAAATCATAGAATTGCTATTAAATGTCACGAACATTCAAAATATCATTATAAAAAGTTGTATCTGAAAACTACAACCATTTTGAAAAAAATTTAATGTTTTTGGAATAAAAAAAAAAGATCAGTTGCAGTAAAATGAGTTCAGATCATGGAATAGAAATGAAAACAAAGCTTTCAAAGCAGAAGTGATTGTGATCGGTATTTGAAGTTTGTGGACATCAGAAAGGTGTCAAAGAAATAGATACAATGAATGAAACATATAGAGATAACGAAGAGTATTCAAGATCAAAAGTCCATAAAACAATACAAAATAGGAGCAGAGCAAACATGGACCTCCATTGGTCACCCATGGACCTGCCGATTGGTCACACCCGCTGTGTGCTTCTTGTCATGATCGTGAATAACGGGAAAATCCGAAGAAAATTAAGTGAAGATACTGGTCTAAATTTTAGTATGAAAAACGTCAGTCAGCATCTGACTCAATGGAAAATAGTATTTGCTGACAAAGTCATTGTATCGACAATAGAACTTACGAAATGATGACTTTAAACGAAACTATTTATATTCTTGTTTCATCAGCTTGTTTTTCAATAATTTACCTCGTTTTAATAAATCGTTCATACGTACAGCATGCTCTTGCGTATCGAATCAACTGAGATACATTAACTTCACATGCAGGTGATGAAGGTATATTGCTGCATAAGTAAGGGAAGTTGACGATAGAAAAGTTAAAGTCATCAAGTTTATCATAGAGCTTGGTTGTTAGATTATCATCTATGTCTTTTTCAAGTAAAATATCCAAATATGAAACAGATGTGTCAGACTTTGTGATATCTTTTATCTCAAGCTCACCAGGATATATCGTATGGAAATAAAAATGGAAATTACTGTTGTTAATTGATAATATGTCGTCGATATATCTAAATGTCGAGTTGAAGGCCACAGCACAAATTCTGCTTCATATGAATACAAAAATAGGTCTGATAATAATGGGGCGCAATTGGTACCCATGGGAATTCCAATAGATTGTTGGAAGACCTGGTTTTCAAAAACTACATAGATATTTGTCAATCAGAAACTCAAGCATCTTTTTGATGTCAACTTCAGAGTACTTGTGTGTACCATAAGAATGTTTTTCTAACTAAATAATTTGCAAATTACCAATGACCAGGTAAGTAAATTTACGAGTTCCATTTTTATTGAAAAAGCAGCTGTGAATGATATCGAAAAGCCTTGAATTTAATTTATCGTGGGGAATGGTTGTGAATAAAGTTGAAAAGTCTTGAACTTTTTTAAAGCTGTTTATTTTGGTAAAATCTTGTGATTTCAAATTGTCCAAAAGATCCTTTGAATTTTTAAGTATTCACATCTGATTTACACAACTTCTTGAATATATTGTTGCATAGTACTCTTGAAGTATCTCCTTCACCACTGTTAATATCTTAATAGTGAGGAGTAGAGAAAGAGGGTTGGCTGAACATTTACTAGAACCCGCTATGTACCTTCCTTCCTTAGAAAGGGAACAATGAGTATAAGTTGCATAACCACTTGTAGAATTAAATCCAAGTTCTTCTAAAATACAATTTGTATGAACAATGTTGTTACCTGCCTCGTCAGCAAGGACCAGTACGTATTGATCATGTAATCTATCTAATTCTTTTTCACTTTCAATAACTACCTAGAATTTGTTTTAGAAATGCTTTATTTTCTTATATACATAAATTGTTTTATAGTTTCAGTGTATTTTACAAAAATTAACTGCATCGTCAAAAAAAAAAAACTTAAATATATTTCATTACTTTAATGAGTAAAAATATATTTTGATGACCATCATTTTCTTTTGCCAGTGAATTTCATTCCAACATTTATGTTCTATATATGTACAATTTTTTATGGATGTAAATTTATTTATTTTCACTAGAAAATATCAATTAGTAAACGATCTGTAGCCATTATATATTAGGCACGGAAAACTATCAATATGCAACAAGACTGGAGATAGTCCAGCAATCAATAAAAGTATCTCTTCTTTTGTGTGCAACCTTCGTTATCATTTCGGATTCAGAATTATAATTGCAAGTGCAAATTTATCTTTTATACTTAAATCGTACAAAAAATTATTGCATTTCAGAAAAAAAATATCTTAACAAGAAAAAATTTGGATTTTCACAACAGCTATATACCGTTTCCTCCAAATTAATTTATACATCGAAGCATCTAAATCTGATGAGGAAAAAATGAAGGAAAAAGATACGCAATTTTAAGACCCATCTCCCCCCTCAGCTAACGTTAATGGAGGATAAATGGGAGTTAATTACTCCGTTTGAAGCTCAGCAACACATATTAAGAAAATAAATCCTGATTAATATTCTTAAACTTTTCAAGCAATACTTAGTTTTTAGTTTAATGGAGTGTTGCTAAAAAGAAAAAAAAAAGCTTAAAGTTCAACTACCATCATGCTTTTTGAAAAATGATCATTGCATATTTAGTTTTTCGTGGTTGTTTTCTAATGATAGTTTTTGTTCAGAAGAAAAGGTTATGTCTTACAGATTGGCTTATAATGTTAACATTAAATAATGTATCGGTTACATTGAATTTCAAATCGACAGGTTAGGTTTCTGGTACAATTATGAAGTTATTTATGATCCAGCTTTATTTTTTTGTATACTTTTTCTTTCGGAGGATGAATATTAACATTTCTGTGTGGGCTTTTATCTGATGCATTTTAAACCACAATATGCCACTGTCTCGAGCTCCTTATGTAACCAAACTTAAAAATCTCAAATAAATTAAATCTAAATGAATATTTAATAGGAGTGCAACATTTGCATTTATATTACAACTCCTCAAAATAATCACCTGATGTAAAAAAATAACAGTGATTAAACGTAGAAGAGAAATCTAAATGACACGAAACACGATAGTGTTGAGAAGTGAGTGAACGATAGTTTTTCTCCCTTTGCGCTGATGTTGGTAAAGACCCGTATGTTAACTGCCAAATTATGGTCAGACCTTTCCTGCCTCTTGCCATAAACCCATGCAATCCGATAGCGTCCTTACTTTCTTTGTAAATGTGTTTGTCTCTTTAGTGTAATGACCACGAAACGATAAGTTACAAAACCATAAACGGTGAAACAATAACCAAAGGCCGGGAAGTACGGTTCAGTTTTATATTCATTTAAAATAACCTTCCTGGCACTTTAAGATTCTTGTGTTTCTTCAGATACGACCCCTTTGGGAAGTTTAAAATCCTAACAAAGTGGTGTAATAGGGGATAACTCAATATAAAACATTGCCAGATGGTTATATTGTAGGGAGGCTTTTTGTCGTCTGGGTGACAAAAACGCTTGACTGCTGAGTTCTTTATTGAACTGTACGAATATGTAGCGCGTTAGGTTCGAGTTCATTAATTGTCTCAGAACATTTATATCAATCACTCGAACATCTTTTCTTTGCGCTGTTGACAGCTAAGAAGATACATTGTCTTGTCTTTTTCTTCCCGATAGGAAGGCGCGAGGACACAGACAAAAACTAAAGATTGCCAAATAGTATCTCTGTTGCTAAAATTTGATTCAAAAACAAAAAGGGCAAAAAACTATAAATATGACATTTAAGCGCTTCCATGCTTTGCTTTAAGAAAACTTTTCTACTATTGAAGCATTGATGGTTACTAACTTTAGCAATCTCTTTTTTATGGATTTGTTTTAAATTAAAAGATCTTTTGCAAAACTGTTAGACGTTAAGTAAAGTATAATATTTGAATAATCGTAATTTGCACTTTGGTGCCTCTTATAATATATATCTCGAGTACTATTCAGAAGTACAATTAAATCAATAAAAAGTCAAAGTATGATAAAGTACAATTCGGATAACCCATGTTAAGTCTGTCTGACATTTATATCAAATGTCGCCTGTATTTACTATTCCTCTACAATTATTGTGTCACCTCTAATGATGGATATGTGATGTTGGCGATATTAGACTTTTTTCTACCCTTGATACCATCCCTTAGGGAAATGATGGCAATCTTTCATACTTTAAAGTCATATGGTCTCAAGTTAAAACAGGACGCCAACTCGACTTCAGTATATTTTGTTTGATTTTAACAACATTAATAATAATTAATTATTGTGAACCTCTAGAATTGGAAGTTTGCGTGATGAAACTTTACATTTAAGCAAAAATATTGAGAAAAAAAAACTTCCATTAAAATAAAGAAATAACGAATAGTATCAAAATTCAGAAATCATCTAGGAAATTAATGAACTTGCCATTTTTAAAAAGTACGATCAGCTGACACATAGTAAAGTAGACCTAGTGCTATATGTATTAGTAATATTACTATAAATTAACAAATAATATTTAATTGTCCACTTATGTTTCACAGAAACTGGGTATATTCAATGAAATGCAGTCCTATAAATATTCAACCCAGGCACAAATTCTCCCCAAAGAGAAGTAAAACGCGCCACCTAAATGGAATAAAAAATATGATGCTCTACCTCGGTGCAAGGTATGGATTGATAACAAAAGGTTACTCACTCACTAATTGATTTCAGGAGGCTTCCTTTGTTTCTAATTCTGCGGATACCAAGTAAATCATTGTTTACCAAGGAAAGAATTAATTATTAATTGAGTTGCCTAAATCAATTTTTTATTGCCTTCTAAAGTAAGTCATAAAATGAATCGAGTAGGAAGACATTAATTAAACAAACAGAAAACATGACCAAACAATAATTTTATAAGGGAAAACTCAGACTGCAAGCATGGACCGTGAAATAATATCCAATGCATAAAATATTTAAAGTAAGTTTTAACTTAAAATCAGTAACTCAGAAGGATGCTGAGAATTTCATTAAAGGAAATCTATTTAGAATTGACATATTAAAAAGTTAGCATCACTCAAAGAAGAAAATATTTTATTGTATTTGATGCAAAAATCATATATGGATAATCACTACTTCCACGTATACCAGATGAAATAATTTCGGAGATACAGGTTCAATGCCGGATTTATTTGAGACATTATCGATTTCGATCCCAGACCCTGTCCGTTTTTCTGATTTATTTTACCAGCAGGTGCCCAAACCCAAGGAGAGAATTGTAAGTTGTTGCTAATTATCAGATACTCATGACAAGAAAATTTTTCTACGAGCTCTTGAGAGTCAATGGTTGTGAACCAGTGCTCTGTAAATCGTCGGAACAGTGATACAACACAGAGAAAAACTAATCATAAACTCTTAAAATTTCATTAATTTGTTAATACAACCTAATAATGGTATCCATTGTAATCCCTTAATCGCACTAATTTACCCAAAGCACTGTCAACTTTGTAGGCAAATAAAGGGGTCTTATACGATAGCAAACAAAAGAAAAACATTTTAAAATTGGAAAATAAAAGAAATCGATTTTAGATATTTTAGAAACAATACATACCTTTATTGAAAACAAACAAAGTTATCAGTAATGTCTTGATGAAGCTATTTGCACTAGATGTAAATTCCATGATGGTAACCCGCAAAACTGCCAAAAATGTTTTTAATTCCTGATACTTTTCCAATAAAATGACACGTCCCACTGTACCGAAGTCAAAGGCGTCTGACTAGTACAGTAAAGTTTGGAGGCACCAGATGAATGCTGTTAGGGAAAATTATATGCATGGAACTGGACTGCCATCCCCTTACCAAATATTGTCACAACATTTCTAGTTATAATGCACAACAATAAAGAGCTATTCGATTGGATCAATAACAATTTTCATTATCCAATCAAGGCTAACTTTCATCCAGTTATTTACAATTGGACATATCGCTGCTTGCCATAAGAATATGTATTGTTCACGAATGAAAAAACTGTAGGACCAAGCAATGGAATAGAACTTCAGAGTACACGGAAAAAAGGCATTACTGGCAGAGCTGTGCAGGTCGGGTTCGGCCTCCCCGGAAATATTTAAGTGTTCCAAGATTCTTTAACTTTCTTATCTTCTGCTGACGTCTTTCTTTTTCTGGTACACCATGTGCAATTACCTCTCCAATGAACCACAATTCATTAACAATTTATCTGGTGGCAGGAGAAGTCACGCATACGTTCAAGGAACAGCCCACGAAATCCCCAAATATTGACGAAATTTCGAAGCTTTGTTCGAGAGGGAAAATGGAAGTTTTAAGCGATTTATTCTATTGGTTCTCACTAAATACATATGTAGGAAAAAATATTTAAAAATTATTGCTTTTTAGACAAACTTCATAAATTTAGCTGGAAAATGTTTTATTAAAAATATGTAGAAGGTTTTATTGTCTTCGCAAGTTTGCATTGCAAAATTGAGCATTTCAGTTTCATGTTGTGTGTTTTAACACATTAATGCATTTTACGCCTGTTAACGCCCAAGATATTCAATGTGGTAAAAAGTTAAATAAATCTTGTCGTGTTTTCTCTTCCCGACAGCCGAGGTTGGAAAATCAATTTGTAGGCAATACTATTTTATATGAAGATTCAATTTTCATTAGCGCCTCTCAAGGGACCAACAACTGGAATATTGAGGTCTTTGTTGTTTGAGATAAGAATGATTGAATGATATGATATAATTAGTATTTTAAAATGCTAGATATATCCTACGCGTTGTAATTTAATTACAGTCTAATAAGAGGGAGACTGAATAAACACCCGATACAATTATTTAATTGTAACTAAAGCAAACCCCACGTTCGCATGGAGTCGCGGAGCCTCATCAGAAACTGGTGCAGCGATCACAACTTCTAAATCGTTAACATCATTTAATCATGCAACTTGAAAAAAGGATCCGTTTTGTTCTAGCTGTATAAAGGGCCTGTCCCCCGGTACCTTATTCAGCACTGAGCGAGAGAAGAGCGAAGTATGATGTGATATAATAGCTAAGGCTCCAACGAAATAAGTCTCACGGAGACGCAATGTCAAAGGAACTAAGAGAGGCCAAGCAAATACATTAAATTAAAAAAAAAAGTACACAAAATTGAATTAATACAAACATTACTTTATAGTCACTGCATGTATTTACAATAAAATAATTAGAAATTTGGAATGAGTAAAAAATAACACTGAATTAGAACCCATATTTCCAGCGGTAAATTAATTAAATGTGGTCTTATTAGCGATCGTTTGTATTTTTACTTCTTTTCTCCTGAAATTCTATTTACTGTGACAGTTAAAGAATGGAGAAAAATATTGCACACAACAATTAGTTTCAAGGGGGAATTGACACGATACATGCATTTAGCTATTAAATCAACATCGTACTCCTGAATGAACCACTGAGCATATCCATTTACTCCTAAGAAACAAAGAACGCAATTTAAATTGCCTTTCATCGAAAGTGCTTTTAATTGTTGAACTTTTTCACTTTCCTTCAAATAATAATTTGTTTTTTAATTTCTTGGTGTGCATGTATATCGTTGCAAGCATAACAGACACTAGAGTGTTCCGGTGAACACATGTGTTGCCTCTTTATAGCATTATCAAAAATATGTAAACCTTCATCACCTGCATACGGAGTTTACATTTTTCAGTTGATTCTATACGCAAGAGCATGCTCTAGGTATAAACATTAATTCAAGCGAGGTAAATTTTTTACAAATAAGTTGATAAAACAAGAATCTCAGCAGTCTCCTTAAAGTCATCATTTCGTAACTTCTATTGTCGCTGCAATGACCTTGTCAGCAAATACGATTCATCATCGAGTATCAATGCTGACTGACGTTTTTCATACTAACTGTTAGTCAATTATTTATACACTAAATTGACGAAGGATTTCTCTGTTATTTACCGATCATGGGAAGGAGCACGCGGTGGGTGTGACCGGTCGGCAGGGGATGTTCACTCCTCGATGGCAGCTGGTCCTACCTCAGATGTTTTGGAGGTCCGTGTTTGCTCTGCTCCTGTTTTGTATTGTTTTATAGACTTTGATCTAGATTACTGTTCGTTATCTTCATGTTTCATGAAATATGTAGATAGTGAACAATAATCAAGCTCGAAGTCCATATATTAAATACAAATCAGGAGCAGAGGAAACACGGGCCTTGTGAAACATCAGACGTAAAATCAGCCGTCATACATCCCCCATCAACGGGTCACTACTGCCATATGCTTCTTGACGTGAGTAGGTAAACGGAAAAAAATTGTAGACAATTAAAAAAAAATTGCTTTCCAATTTGTATGAACCTTCAGACATAAACTGCATATGCAGGCAAAAATTGGTGCAAAAGCTAAGAGAGGTTTATGACACGAAAACAGTACTCATCAAGTATATCGTAAAGATTTGTTAGCTTACTACCATAACAGTATGTTTAAATAATACCGGTATACCCAAATATGAAACAGATGTGTCTGATTATACATACATAAATTATATGTTATTTAACATTATCTTTGTGTTTTCTGTTCTTGGTACATGATAAGTCATATGACTTTATTTTACATGACATTGACTGCATATTTTAAAAACATTGCCCAGAAGTATCTTTTAAAAATATTTTTGTGTAAAATCATGAATCTTTTTTGTCTCATATTTCATTTTGTGAACAATCCTAGCCTTAGTAACGTGGTTTAAGTATATGAAGTTGAAAAAATTAAGTCGCAGTGAACGTTTTAAAATCGAGGCCGTGTTATCAATTAACAATAGATAAATATTTTCATATATCAACTGGATATTTACAGTAAGCTTGAAATAAATGATACCACAGTGTCTGACAATGCCGTTTCTCATATGAATATTTTATTTGAAAAGCACATCAAAAGTTAAGTTAACACAAGGCTTCATGAAAAAAATGATGATTCTTATTTTTTCAACTTCCCTTACTTATCTAGCAATATACATGTAACCATATTACCTGCATATATAGGCAATATATCAGAACAGGAGTTCATTAAACAAATTTAATTTCTTATTTAGTAATCATTCCGTATGACGTAGTATGACTTTTTTCATACTACCGGTAATTGTTATACCATACGTATCATTTACATACTGAATTGTATGTGGATTTTTACTTTTTCACCGATCATAACAATGAGCACATAGCTAGCTTAGTTGTCCGGTCGACAGGGTATAATCACTCCTGCATTGAACCTGATCCCACCTCTGTTTCGTATTGCTTAAATTCTTTGTATGGATTTTGCCTCAGCTTTAATTCTACTTTGTTCGTTATCTCTATGTTTCAATTATACTTATAGTAAATAGAAATTGGTAAACGCTTTCTAGGCTAAATAATGTAGTTTTTCCCCGTCTCTGGTTTATTAAGGCAAATTTGTTAAACTTTTTAAACTATGTGCCGTGATCCATTTCCATATGTTCCCTATTAATCAGTTCATTTTTCTATTGTCATTTGGTCACGTTTGTGACATAGATAAATAGCACAGTTGATATTGTCAGTAAACCACCTGATCCCATCTCTGATGTTTAAAGAGTGCTAACGCTGCTCCCATTTTGTTTTGTTGCAATGGACGTTAAAGCTTTATCACTGATTATTTGGTTCAGATTCCCTCTAAACAAGATCATCTGAGAATCTTGTCGAAGGAGCACTGGGTTTTTTTTCTGTAACTTTTATTTGTGCTAAATTTTCAATTATATTAACTTTAACAAAACAGTTTAATTAAATCTTTAATAAATAAAAGACAAACTTGAATTTAAAAAAAAAAAGAAATACAGCGTGCAATGTGCAACTAATGCATATACTCGAGACATAATAAAGTTGCAATGTACATGTGAAAAATTTGAAAATAAAAACATAAGTAATGAAATGTATGAAGATAACGAACAGTATTCAAGCCCAAAAGTCCATAAAACAATATAAAATAAAAGCAGGGCAGACAAGGACCTCCAAAACATCAGAGGAGGGATCAGGTTCCGTGGAGGATTAAGCATCAAAATTCCCTTTGAAATAAAGATACTCCTTACTAAGATATTAATAAAAGTAGAGGATATTGAGATAACGAACAGTATTCAATATCAAAGTTATAGAACAATACGAAATATGAGCAAAGCAAACACGGACCTCGGAAACATTAGGGGTGGGATCAGGTGCCGTGGAGGAGAAAGCATCCCCTACTGAACGGTCACACCACACAAGGTGCTCCTTGTCATGATCGGGAAATAACGGAAAATCCGTCGTCAATTCAACGTATAAGTAATGGACTAACAATTGGTATGAAAAATGTCAGTCAGCATTTGACTTAATGATAAATTGTAAACTGAAAAGGTGATTGTATCGACCATGGAACTTACGAAATGATGACTATAAAAGAGATTGCTGATATTCTTGTTTCATCAACTTGCTTGTCAATAATTTACCTCGTTTTAAAAATTGTTCATACGTAGAACATGTTCTTGCGTATCGAATCAACTGAGATATATACACTCCGTATGCAGGTGATGAAGTTATATTGTTGCATATGTAAGGGAAGTTGACGATAGAAAAGTTAAAGTCATCGCGTTTATCATATAGCTTGGTTGTTAGATTACCATTAAAGTCTTTTTCAAGTAAAATGTCGAAGTATGAAACAGATGTGTCAGACTCTGTGGTATCTTGTATCTCATGCTCTCCAGGATATATCGCAGCGATGTAGGAATGGAAATTAGCATTGTTAATTGACAATACGTCGTCGATATATCTAAATGTCGAGTTGAAGGCCACAACAAGTGTTTTCCTCTTTTCACGCATAAGATTTTGCACAAATTCTGTTTCATATGAATACAAAAATAGGTCTGCTAATAACGGAGCGCAATTGGTACCCATGGGAATTCCAACATATTGTTAGAAGACCTGGTCTCCAAAAACCACATTGATATTGTCAATCAGAAACTCAAGCATCTTTTTGATGTCAACTTCAGAGTACTTGTGTGTGCAATCAGAATGTGTTTTAACAAACAAAACTTTGCAAATGACTAATGACCAGGTAAGTAAATTTACGAGTTCGATTTTTATTGAAAAAGCTGCTTTAAATGATATCAAAAAGCCTGGACTTTATTCTGTCGTATGGAATGGTTGTGTATAAAGTTGAAA